GCACCCCCACCCCGGGCCCGGCCCACCTTGTCCACATGTGCGTGCCAGTATTCATCGTGGGCCGTCCGGGCATCTGTGCTGTTGATGCGGGAGAAGAAGGTGGGCCTGGTCAGGTGCAGCAAGGAGGCACTGACGCCAAAGGCCTGGGCGATGGCGAGCTGGACCCTCCAACGCAGGTCCCTGTGGAGCACAGGTGCCATCTTGAGTGGCCGGGCCTCGGGGGACGCTATGGTCCCGGGCCCAGAGAGCAGAGGGCGGCAGAGCGTGTCCCTAGACACCTGACACACGGTGTGTGCCCAGACATTTAGTTTTCAGCCACATGTTCTGGATCCAGAATCCACCCTGAAAGATGTCAGAGCACAGACTGCAGAGCTGGGGCCTCAGCAGGCCTTTGCAGGGGGACCCCTCCTTTCCCCCCCGCGGGGCCCGGCCCCCCTTGTCCACGCGCATCCACCTTTGCGCACCCTCCCGTGGCCAGCTGTGGGTGGCCACAGCCCCGGGGCCCCCGGGCCCACAGCAGTGCTGGAGCCTCTTTGTAACCGGGGCAAGGCCCAGGAGCTGGGCAAGCTGAGGGCAGGTTGGACAGAGCCCAGCGCCTGAGCGCTGAGCCCCGCAGGGACAGCTGTGTGGCTGGGTGTCTGGGATGCCCAAAGGGAGAAGCACCCACACACAGCTGACCAGTGCTACTGCTTCAAGAAGATGGACAGAGCCAGGTCCACAGCACACCAGAGAGAAAATTCTCACAGGTTAGTGTATCTCTAAAGGCAGCATACACACCTGTCTGCGTGTGTGCCACACACACCTGTGTACACGTAACACATGCACACACACCCGTGCACACAGACTGTATTGGAATCATAAGTGGCTGAAGCTGGCCTCTCAGTCCTGCTCGGCTTTCCTAGTGCTGTGATTACAGTCACGCACCACCATGCCCAGCCTAATTAAACTACCAGACAGTGGTAGAGCACTTGCCTGACAAGTACAAGGACCTGGGTTCAGACTCCCTTGCCCGACAGTCCCAGGCGTCTGTGGGTCTCCCCCACGATGGCTGCTGTCCTCTCGTGGCCCCGAGTCCACAGGAGTGGAGCACAGCCTTCCACCTGTGGCTCTCCTTGGCTCACAGGTGCGCCAGCACTGCAAGCCGCCCACAGTCCTCGCTCCGTCGTCACGGAGACACACAGTGTTCTGACCCACCGGTGACCGGGGCCGGGCAGCCACGCTGTGACAGTCAGCCTCTGCTCTCCACTAGAGAACAGCGCCACCTCCCTTCCGTCCCTGCAACCGTGGGATTGTCAAAACACGACCCCACCCTTTCCCAGCAGCAGGGCAGGCCCTGGGGACAGCGGTGGGCTGGGCCCTAAGCCAAGCCATGCATGTGGAGCCGAGTGCAAGGGGGGACTCCAGACAGCCCCCCACACCACAGACAGCCCCCCACACCACAGACAGCCCCCCACCCCACAGACAGCAGCACCCCACACCACAGACAGCAGCACCCCACACCACAGACAGCCCCCCACACCACACCACAGACAGCAGCACCCCACACCACACCACAGACAGCAGCACCCCACCCCACAGACAGCAGCACCCCACACCACACCACAGACAGCAGCACCCCACACCACACCACAGACAGCAGCACCCCACCCCACAGACAGCAGCACCCCACCCCACAGACAGCAGCACCCCACACCACACCACAGACAGCAGCACCCCACACCACAGACAGCAGCACCCCACACCACAGACAGCACCCCACACCACAGACAGCAGCACCCCACACCACAGACAGCCCCCACACCACAGACAGCCCCCC